TAACTGTTGTAAAGGTCTTCATACATGTGGATTTTTCTCCTTTTAAATTTTCGTATTTCTTCAATTCCAAGATACATATTTTTCTTCTTTTATATATTGTATATCAGGATCCATTTTAGTATAAAGATGGCAGTATTTTTTCTTTAAAATATATTATTAAATTAATATTATATCTTAAAATGGAAACTGTCTTAGAATTGGAGAAATACAGTAGTTCTATAATGTAAATTAGGAACAGAGGGTTTGCTGAGTCAAAACAAATTTATGATACTTGATAAGTATATGAGACTATCTTCTAAAGGGATTTTGTTGCTGTTTTCTACAGTTTTGCTAGCATGAGATTTGACTTCTCTTTGATTTTTAATAGTTTTAATTAATGCAGATGTTTTCTCATTATTTTAATTTACTTAACTATTCTACTCTTCATACGTGGAAGAGTTTGGGTATAAAAATAACAAAAGGCAACATTTGAAGACTTCTCATTAACCATTCAAAAGGAAAAACCTTCATGATTAGTCAGTAATTTAAGAGGGGAAAAGTGAAAGGTACTGGCTCTTCCCTTTCCAAGTTGTTATGTCTGTTTCTCTGCCATATGCAAAACTGGAAGGATTCTGGTGATTTATTTATAGAATTATAGGGTTTTTGAGCTAGATAAGCCCTTAAGGATCATCTGGTTGACTCCCACATTTTATATATATGATTAAGTAAAAACCCAGTGAGATTCAAATTGTTCAAGATTTTACAGCTAGTAAGTGCAAGGGCTGAAATTTGAAACCAAGGTTCCAGACCTTTCTACCAGGCACACTGCCTGTTTGGTGAAAATTCCACTTGAGGGCTAATGACACATCTGCCAGTCCTTGACATTTAGGCTAGACAGTGTAAGATTTAGGTTTAGGATATTACTAATTCTTACTAATAGAGTACTCGAGAAAGTGGATGATCTCAGATTTAAGATTATAGAACTAAATATGAAAAAAATTGCCTATATCTAAATATGTTGCACAAAAGTAGAAGTATATATGCTACACTTCTGTAGCAGGCTTATGCAATGAATTCTGAGTAACGTGTCTTAAGCCTAGTAATTCAGATTGTCGGTGACTAAGCCCTCTGGAAAACTGAATCACCGTTATCTTAAATTTTTCTCACTGTAGATTTAGTCTCATTGCTTATTAACTATTGCTCACCTTTTCCAAACCAAATTAACATCCCAATTTTTCATCTAAAAGATGGCATATTTTTATCCCATCATCTTTATTACTGTTATTTCCAGGCATTCAGAATTTTATAAAATGTTCCTACAACTGGTAACTCAAGTCACAGGCTTTATCAGTCTGTGACAACAAAATTAACTCATACTTCCATTTCAAACCCAAACTCATATGGCACAAGTTCAAATCAGCATAACTACTGGAAACTGGCCCTATTTAAGTTGTTTCCCAAACAATTTCTAAGGTCCCAGGGTAATGCCTTACAAATATTCAGGACTGGTCACCATCTTCTACACCTGCTTCTTTGTTTTTCCTCTGTACAGGAATGCTGATGGACACCATTCTCCTCCCCTGGTGACAACTATTGATGCATCCCTACTGTGGCAAGGTTAGTCCCTCTCCAGATTTCCCATATCTAAACTGCAATGAAATCATACTCTTTAAAAAACATATATTGAAGGTTCCAGGAAAAAGAATCTGAAAACAGAGAATAACTTCCAACAGTCAAGAGAAGTAGATCTTTAGAGCTAACAAGTCCAAACCCAAAATATGAAGCCCTGCCTAATTCCCAGCAGTCCATCACGTGGCAGGGAGGCAGCTCAAAAGGAAACGGGTAACTCCAGGTATCTCCTTAACGTGGAGTTCAGGTTCCATGCCCCTCAACTTAAAGAAAGAAGTCCTTCAGATTCTCTCAAGCCTAAGCTAGGCTTTATTTTCCTGCCCTGGAATTTTTCTTTTCCCATATGTGAGGTGGTAGGAATCTTGTAGTCTACCCACTCAAAAGATTGATCTTCATAGCTTGAGCTTCATAGCTTGAACAAGATAATGACAATCATAGGCAATATATTTTCCCAAGTCTGGCTTGTGCAGTCTTAAAATTACCTAATTGTAAGAAAAAACTATGCTTTAGTGGGAAACTGCATTGTCTAGCATGGAGGATACCCCTCTGGGTTACTGAGTCTGTGGGAGCTATTTTACAGTGCTGTAAATTATCGATGACTGATATCAATGCAAAACACTTATTTATAGACATCAAATTGTTTCCTGTATGGTAGAGGGATAGAATTTCAATCAGCTTTCTTCTACTACTGTGAAAAAAGGCTCTTTTTGCCCCAGTTTGCCTATTCATTTCCCTATTTCTCATCTATAACTGTGCCTGTTCTTTGGATTCTCCTTTGAACTGGCTGATACCTTACCATTTTTCTTATTAATGAGTCAAATAAAATCTTTAACACATATTCATATGTGTTGTATAGGAGAGTCATGATTTTACCGTCAAAAACTTAGGTTTAACACCGTGTATGAGACCTTAAAGTATGGTTAGTTTTTGCTACATCAAGTTTAGTTTAGTTCTTCATTACATTATACCATCAGCATAAGGAAAAGAGATGATCAAACATGCTCCCACCCCCACCATAATATTTGGATTTTTGTTTTCTTTTGTTTTGTGTGTTTTTGTGTGTTTTTTTGAGACAGGGTCTCGCTTTGTCACGCAGGCTGGAGTGCAGGGGTGCAATCTTGGCTCCCTGCGACCTCCGCCTCTTGGATCCAAGCAATTCTTCTGCCTCAGCCTCCTGAAATTACAGGCATGTGCCACCGTGCCCAACTAATTTTCGTATTTTTAGTAGAGACAGGGTTTCACCATATGGCTAGGCTGGCCTTGAACTCTTGACCTCAGGTGACCCGTCCATGTTGGCTTCCCAAAGTGCTGGGATTACAGGCATGAGCCACTGTGCCCGCCCCCCACCCATAATATTTGTATACACACAAAATACACATGCGTGTACATGCAGTTCCCCAACATAAGCATAGAACAGTCTAAAATCAACATGAAGAAAATACTCTCTAATGCAATAGAGGCACAGTTCTGGTGATCTGTCAAGCAAAACGTGCTATTTCAGCTTGAAGAGTCTGCATGGAGTTACTTCCTCATATCCAGTAATTCTTCAAGAATGTAGAGTTTTCATCTGTATCAGAGTTTCTCAGCCTCAGCACAGTTAACATTTTGGATCAGATAATTCTTTGTTGTAGGGGCTGTCCTGTGCATTGTAGGATACTTAGTAGCATGTCTAACCCCATATGTCACTGGGGTTAAAAATCACCAGTTCAGAACCACTGATCTATTTTATTAAAGGTCCCCTAAGATAGCTCCTTCTAGAGTAAAGGAAGGATCTCCCTAAGGATAAATGAATATATTTAACCAATACATATCAGCATGGATGGGTCTCAATGGTAATGTTGAGTGAACACAGCTAAATTACAGAATGCTTTGTGCAGCATGATACTATTTATATAAATCTTAAAATTACGAAAACATGTATTGTTTATAGAAACATATATTAAATTAAATCATAAAACCATCAACATGGAGAATACATATCAATTGAATGAGTATGGTTGCCTGTGAGAAAAGAGGGAAGAAATTAGACAGATTAAGATTACAAAAGAAAATTCAACTGTGTCTATAATGTTTTGCTTTTTTAAGAGATCTAAAACAAATACTACCCAATGTTATTTTTTCATTCCAGCAAATGCATATATGAATATTATGTTATTCTACAAACTTTACTGTAAATTTGAAATAAATCCATAATAAGAAATGAAAAATGCAGCTTAAATTTCAAATAATGTTCTTTGAAGCTGTTGTCGTTAATTTTCCAGTCATCTACTGCTTTATATTCATACTGCTGGTTGCCTCCATGATTATAGGTAGCTGTGAGTTGGCAGTGTTTTATAGAGCAATTTCCTGGCTCA